GGAGAAGAAAGAGATAAAGAGATAGTTCGGGGAGAGAGTGGAATCGGAGCTTTTGGTATCTTCGGAGGAATTTCTACGGGCGAGTGAGTGATTATAGCTGCGTCTGGGGAAATCGTTCGGGTAATTAAAGGAGAACCTCTTGATTGCGAATGATGAAATTGGGGAAACATTTGGAAATACGATTTTAGAATTTTGTGCGGCCGTTTGCGGATGAATTTAGTGATATTTGCAGGGCTTTGATGTTGGGCGCTTCAATCTTGAAGAGAAAATTCTAATTACTTAGCTCTGGAATTTTCAGAAATTTTATTCTAATATTTTTAGCTAAATACCGAGATTTCGCGTTTGTTCAGCTCACGAATGAAATTGTGAAAACATTTGGAATTATAATTTCGAGAATTTCGTGCGAGCAAAATTCCATATTATTGTGAAGAGCAAATTAAAATTACTCAACTCTTGTATTTTGCGAAATTTCATTCCAATATTTGTAGCTAAATACCAAGTTTCCTCGTTCGTCTACCTCACTTTGTTTGGTTGTACAGCAAGTGCTCGTTTTATTACTCGACAGTTTTATTCGAAGTTCGTTAATATTTATAGGGGGGAATAATTGTAAGTGGTTTTCCAAATTTTCATCGCGTTTTCAAATAGAAATTCGGAAATTGTAACAAAATTTTTAAGAGATTATATTTGCGTCTAGGGTAATTATTAAATTAAAGGAGAACCTCTTGATTACGAACGAAATCGTGAAAACACTTGGAATTATGTGCCAACAAAATTCCACACTATCTTCAGAGCAAATTGAAATAACTCAACTCTAGCATTTTCAGAAATTTCATTTCACTGTTTGTAGCTAAATACCAAGTTTCCTCGTTTGTACAACTCACTTTGTTTGGTTGTACAGTAAGTGGTCGTTTCATCACTCGACAGTTTTATTTGAATTTCGTTAATATTTATAGGGGCGAATAATTCCAAGTGCACTCGAGAATTTTCATCCTGTTTTCAAAGGTAAATCCGTAAATTGTAAGAAAATTTTCGACTACTCGAGTTTTCACAAATGAAAGGACCTTCATTCACCAAAATTTCCCCATTTAAATTCTTTATTTGAGGATGAATAAAACAGGGGTAGAGCAAGCAGGAAGAATCCGAGAATATAATGAACTGCATCACATATTCCGTGTGTGCGGTTGTAAAAAATATTTCCAGTAAACGAGGGGATAAATTCAGTAGTTGAGTGCGTCAGAATAAAACAACTCAAGTGAAAAAAACAGCCCCAAGAACCGAAATCAAAGCTGCATCGAAGTTATTCCCACCATTTCCATTCATCTTCAAAAAAAATTTTTTTTTTTTCAATTTTGAGATTTCTTCGGTTTAAAATATTTTTGTCACAACTTTTGAATAGTTAATGGGTTGATAAATAGAATGAATGAACGCCCCGACGAAGAACACCAAATAGTGGAAGAATGTTTTTTTTTCTCGACTATTTCCTTTTTCAATTCTAATTAAAATTGCTGTTATGACCGTTAACAGCTGAGGAAGTGTGACTTTTTTTGAAGATGAACTCAAACCTATCACTCCATCTAAACTCCAAAGAGAACATCCCAGAAAACCCCAGAGCCGCGATTCGTAATTGAATTCCCAATTGAAAAAAAAAAGAATAATAATCACTCCGCGGGATCAGAAATTCCCCGGAACGATTCCATTATCGCGAGCCGACTAATCCCCTCGCAACTCAATTATCTCCCCTAAAATCTGCCTCGAAGACACGGCTATCTCTTTATCCCCTGCGGGAGCCAAAAAAAATCCCCCCAAAAAAACCCCATCATCATCAATTCATAATGATTACACATGTGTATTATCCCCGATTAGGATCAACCGACAGACCTAGTGAGACTCGCCTCGTCCACCACCTCAAAATCATCAAAATCATCGCTAAATACAGCTGGCGATGAAACAAATGGTGCCATTGTTCAAATCCCAGACGATGAAGACTCTTCAGCGCGTGAATTACGGGCTTACACGGTTGAGAGGCTTTGGAGTATAACCGAGGACCTGAATGTACTCTATAAAGAAAACTGGACGAGACTTGCTGAACGGGAGATCATGGATTTTCAGGAGAAAATGACAAGAACAATAAGTAGAGATAAATCAAAATACTCGGTTACCGTACAGCGAAGCCCCAGAGGCAACGACAGACGTAATTTAATTGTCGACAGACGCTGGACATTTGGCAGCAGCTTGCTTTACTCACTGACCCTCATCACAACCATTGGTATTTGATCAACAATCGATTAGTCTTCAGCCATTTAAATAACATTAATCATATTAATCAATTTGTTCTGATTAGGTTACGGTAGTGTTGCACCACGTACTGTTTGGGGACGTGTTATCACGATCGTTTATGCCCTAGCTGGTATACCACTGATGCTGGTTTATCTCAGCACTGTTGGTGATGTTTTTGCGAGAACATTTCGGGCTTTTTATGGGCGTATGTGCCACAGAAGTGATTGCAGAAAGAGGAGGAAGGGAAAGTTTCTTGTTTCATCGCCCTCCATGCCCGGAATAATTGAGAAGAGTTATCACAGGTATGAGAATCATATTGAAACGGGAAAGTTGACGCCGGGGTTTTACTCCAAAGAGGCAAGCTGTGATGAACTTGGGGTGAGAGCTGGCGCTGCTATTTTACTGGATCGCGAGGGAATCGAGGGGAATATCTATCTTCATCCCGGCGGGTCCAACACTGGGCTTCAGGTAATTCAGTGATTTTATCGACGGTTTTGGCACAAAATATTTTTATTTGTTTCGTGATTTGTTGCAGGGGGAATTAATATTTTTAGGGGTTTATTTCAGTGGCGAAACGGGGAAACGGTTCAAGTCGACTGCGCTCTTGGCTGAGTTTTTTGGGAATACCTCGGAATCTGAGGGAGATGACGGCATTTTCGTTATGACCTCTTTCGAAGGTCTCAATTCGCTCGACAAAAAAGGTTATAATACAAATTTTGCTGTCTCCCTTAGATTCCGAGATATTCATTGAAAACTGAAGAATAGTTAAAATCTATTCTTATTTAATTGTTCGTTTGTCGTTTTGTTGAAACTAACTAATTTTTCGTTGCAATTTCACGTGGTAATTACTATTTTTTAATTGTCAATAACTCGAAAATGGAAGAATGCAATTTCTCGATGTTTTCTGTTCAATTTTCGAGACAATTTTCAAGCGTTAAAATTAAACCTGAATCATTGGAAGCTATTCATTTGGTCAGGCTAAACTGGAAGATTGAAATTTGATAACAATGTCACTGGAGTAAAAAAAAACGACCCGAGGACACTAAAAAATAATTTTTATATCCATACGTCGTAAACCAGTGGCTTGAATTGTTCAATTTGGGTGAAATTTCCCCCGTTTTTTAAAGACACAATTTATATTTTTCAATCGCAACGCATGGAAATATTTCATGTCGCATATCCGGCGCAATCTGATATATTTGATAACAATGCATCTTGGGCATCAGGTATTTCCATGATTTTTATCGACGGCGAAATATTTGCTTTATTAGGGACAATATTAGAGAATTAAAATCTCCCTTCGATTATTCGCTCGTTCGTTCCTCGTTTCGATGAAAAATAATTAATTTTCAATGCAATTTCTCGGCAGTATTTTTTTTACTTTTCGAATTTTTTCGAAAATCGGTTGTCCCACGATAACTAAAAAATGTTCTGAATTGATTGATTGATGGTTTAAAAAATTTGTTTGGATGTCCTTTTGACCGAGTTCGAAGATGAAGGCGGCAGCAATAATCGTGATTTTGATTTATTTGAAAATTTGCAAAAATTTTGTATTTTTTGAAAATCAAAATTCCAGAGATATCTTTGAATATCATGCTTCAAATGAATTCAATCATAGCTTAAAATGTTTGTTTCAATGCCATTAAGTCGAAGTTAAAAGATGATTACGATAGATATATTGGTTGATTTGATTTTTATGATGATTGTTGAAAATTTCGAATTTTTCATGAATTTCCCTGAAAGTGAGCTTTCCGATGGCTTCTTCAAATGTGATGTTTCAAATTCATTCAAGTATGTGTAAATAAAATTTTTCTATTAACATTTTATCGAAGGGCTGAAGGGAGAGATAGAACTGTAAAAAAGACAATCGGTTGTATAGAAGAAAGGGATAATAAAAATAATGATGATGATAACATTCAACTGATTTGAAAATCTGACAAAATTAGTTGAATAGAAATCTTATTCAATTTAATATAATGAAATAAACAATGAATTACCCATGATAGAAGGAAATGACGTGCAAAATAACCATTCGGGAACATATTGCTAATTTATTAGCAAAAATAACAATATAACTATATGGGATACAAGAGCAATTTCAATCTACAAAATGAAACCAGCGTCCGAATCGTTTCATTAAATCAGGCTACACTGGAAGATTAAAATTTGAAAACAATGTCACTAGAGTAAAAAAATACGACCCGAGGTCAACAAAACATCATTTTTTATGGATATGTCGTAAACCGCCGGCTTGTCTTTTCCAATTTTGGGTGAAATTTCCCCGGTTTTTTAAAGACACCATTTATATTGTCCAATCTCAACGCATGGAACTGTTTCACGTCGCATATCCGGCACAATCCGGTATATTTGATAAGAACATCTTGGCCCTCAGGTATTTCCATCATTTTTATCGGCGGTTTTCAACGAAATGTTTCTTGTATTAGAGACAACATTGGACTATGAATGTTTCTATTCGGTTATTCACCTGTTCGCTCTTCGTTTCGTTAACAAATAATCAACTTTCGAGGCACGCGGATCAAACTTTTCAATGCAATTTTACGCGGTGATAAATATTTTATCGAGATTAATTGGAATTGCGGAGAATGTTTTCCAATTACACTTTTACCTCGTTTTTATTCCAACAGGAGACCAAATGTTGGCTAGGGTCGCTCCATATTTTCTATTTATGTAATTGTATTTACGTTAAACGCGCCGAATTTTTAAAATAGATATCGCAACACGAGAATTCATTTTTTTCGCAATTAAAATTTAATGGTCCATTCAGTAATAAAAAAAACGGACGTTCGTATTATCCGTGTAATTATCGAAACGCAAGCTTTCATTTTCAATGAATCACTAATAGACCAGGGAAATATGAGGAGATGTGAGCGACGATCTGGATTATTGGATCATTAAAATTGGATAATAAACGTAACAATGTTGTTTTTTTCTTCTGAATGGAAGCATTGTAATCGTTTAAATTTAAGTTTCGAATTTTTTGTGTTATATAAACCTATTGTTATTCAAAAAGTCTGACAAACGTTTTCTTCAATTGCTCGCCAATAAATCGATGAAATTGAATCATATTTCTTCACTTGTAGGCATTGTTGGGCCCTGTCCGCCGACATCAATTAATATATTCTATTCTTGAATTTTATAATTTAAAAAAAAATCGGTTGTCCCACCATAACTTAAAAAAAAGTTCTGACTTCATTGAATGCTGACTTTAAAAAATTCTTTGGCTGTGACAATGTATAAATGTAAAAGCAATTTTCCACTTGTTTTTTTCATTCAATTCATTGAATTTGTTCGCAGGAAGGGAACATGGAAAAACGTCACCTCCATCCGTCCTCTCAAATGTCCTTAATGCCGTCGACAATGGGCTACGGTACAGACACTATTTGTGTCGTTAGGATACCAATAAGTCTCTGTTTATTGATAATTGTTGTGTACGTGTGCGCTGGTGCATTCGTATTCAATCGTCTAGAAGGATGGAGTCTTCTGGAGAGCAGTTACTTCTGTTTTACGAGCTTGGGTACGATTGGCTTTGGTGATCTAGTGCCGATGGGAAGAAATGCCTCAACGAGATTGCTCGAGGAGATGAGTCTGTGCGCCTGCTCTGTGTATATTTTATTTGGAATGGGTCTAATTGCCATGTGCTTCAATTTAATGCAGGAAGAGGTTGTTAGGGTTGTCAGAGTATTTGGAAGGACCTGTGGAAGTACTGGAATCACAGCAAATTCGATTGGAGCTAATGGTAACGTATTGCACCGGATATTAATTTATTTCTCATTCATCAATCTAATTAACTATATTCAAGTGCTCTCTCATTTGAAATTTCATTCGGCATTTTGAGCCGTTTTAAATAGGAAACATTTTAAATATCATAAAAATTGGAAAGTCCACTCTTAATATAGACACATAACTCGAGAATGGCAGAGTAAAATTTCTATTTTTTTTTTCATTTTCAAAATATTCCTTCAAACTTGAAAACGAGACCAGACTCGTCCAAATCGTATCATTTGATCGGAAGAGATTGACGACTGAAGGAATTTCAGAAATTTCTCAGGTTTTTCAATGACACGATTTATACTTTTCAATCTCATCGCACGAAAGTGTTCCCCTCCCGGAAATCCGGCGCAATCTGATGTTTCTGATAAGAATACATCTTGTTTGACTGGGGAAAATACTGGGAGCGTAAAAAAAATGAATGGATAGCCCAGTATTTACCGATATCAGAGTTATATTCCATTTTCCCTCTGCTCTCTTCATGAATTTTATTACTCCAATATTGTTCGTGATATTTCGTTGGCAAAATTTCTCAAGATCGATGGGATAAAAGTTGCCTCCGTACATGGTATATTCCGCCAGATGACAAATTCAGCCCGTTAAAAATTATAGAATTCTCTCGCACTCAGCTCTCCAACAACTTCCCCTCCCGGAGCATTGAAAATCTCCATTCTCTCGTTCGTAAACTTGCTCCATTATATTCCCCAAGACTTACTCGATATAATGGGGGTATATAAGCGCTTTAACTGCTTCATTCTATCGGTTGAAATTTTATTTTATTTTTAATGCTTTTCCCCATTTATCATCTCAGAAATGCTCTCATTTTTCATAATCTAATAAGATTTCCTCTATCCCGTACAAAAGCCAGTCTTAAACGTGAGAAATTTGTCACTTCGTTTTTCATTCTACCATCTTTTCCATCTATTCGCCGACAATCTTGGGAGTACAAGAAATTTTTCTTATAGAAAATTACGTAATAATTAAATTCTTTACACTTCACTACTCCTCGAGGTATTAAAACATTTCATTTTCACTTTTATTATCAAGTCACTTGACCGATAGAATATTGGACTTGAAATATCAAGGAAAAATTCTTTAAATTGTGAACAAAAATTAATTCATATGAAATAATTGGACAATTGCACATAATTTCCTTCTATCATGTATAATTCATTGTTTATTTCATTTTATTAAATTGAATAAGATTTCCTTTTACCTAATTTTGTCAGATTTTCAACTTAGTTGAATGTTATCATCATCATTATTCTTATTATTTCTTTTATATCCAACAGTAAAATTACGTAATAATTCAATTCTTCACGCTCGATTACTCCTCGAGGCATTAGTACATTCCATTGTCACTTTTTTATTACCTCACTCTACTGACAGAATATTGGACTTGAAATTTCAAGGAAAAATTCTTGAAGCCGTCAACAAAAACGAATTGAGATGAAATTATTGTGTAACTTGTTCCCTGAAACAGGACTCGTGTTCATGTCACGTGAATAGTTTCTCAAATTGAATAAAAACGTGAGATACTAATTTTTTTGTCTTGGCAATTCATAGAAAATTGAGAGGTCACAGGCAATGGAAAAAACGTAAAAAAATTTTTTTCCAATATTTTTAAAGCGATTTTCATACTCAGCAATGGGACAATTTCATGCAAAACCCCAGATCTAATCGAATTCCGATAAATTCTCGGCTGTAACACTTCTCAACAGTCAGTCAACAAGAAAGACTCCAATAAACTCATTCACCCATTCCCAAGTTCAATTCCCCATGAAAAATCCTCAAATAAAAACCTTGAGGTAAAAATAGACGATAGATCAGTTAGGATTCAACTCAATTGGGCTGTGGCATTTTTTGCCCTATCAAATAAAATGATAAAATAATAAAATCTTGAAAAAAAAACTCTCGAAGTGATAATAGATGATAAACCGATTAGAATTCAACCGATACAATTCAACTCGACTTTACCTTAGAAAATTTTATATCGAATAAAACGACGAAATACAAAAAATGGTCAAAAAACATGAGATACGAATTTTTTCATTGACATAAATCGCAATAAAAAATGTCATCGGAAATTGACAAAATCGTCTCAATAATTTTCCATTTTAATGAATGGAAAATTATTATTCTCATCAGTACTTCCAATAATAAAAAAAGTTAATAAACAAAAGTCAATAGAAAATTATTTTTTGCTTGAATTGCGTCAAACAGTTGTTTTTCGATTGCTTCATTTAGCCCCCCTCCCCCCTACAAACGATTGAAGAAAAATTACTCGTCTCACCTAAACATATTTCAGACACCAGATTTTTTTTTCTCAGTGCAGCCACCCAACAAGAAAGCCCCCAATAAGCTCATTCACCCACCCCCCATTCAATTCCCCATGAAAAATCCTGAAAAAAAAAAACCCTCGACAAGAAAAAAAAACCCAAAAGTTAAACCGGTTAGATGAAAGAAAAACGTTTTCCTACATTTCCCCAGGTCTCAAATCGGATTTATGTGAAGATGGAAGTATCACTGGCATTACGGATAACTGTCATGAGCACGAGGATGACGGTATTGCCATGTCAATGGTATCAGCCTCCTGACAGCAGCCAGCCAGGAGCGCTGTTGATGACAGTGATCTCCTGGTGAAACACCGTACAGCTAGTATCAATAAATATTCATCACCAGGTCGTCACTCACTGCCGCGTAAAAAAGTGACGATTAATACACGTGACACATACCAGGGTGGCCAGTATTCACCAAATTTACAAATACAACGTGGAGGATCACAATTAAGTCGCAATGGTTTATCACCAATGCAGATACAGCACAGACATCAGCACAGCCATTGTCATGTTAAGGAGGACAGTAGTTTCGAATATTTTGTGCCAAGGAGTGTCAGTGATTTTAATTTAACAAGTGATGTGCAGGAAATTGCTGTTACACTACCCCAATCTGTATTAAAAAATTACAGTACTGTTACATCAACACCCTCGCAAACTAATACACCAACAATTTGTGCACAGAGTGCTAGTTCTAGGCAGGATAATTGTGGAACTATTGGGACCAGGAGTCGTGAGAAAATGGTTACATTCGAGGATGAGGGCTGTCCAGGCTCAACGCCAACCAGAAAAATTCACGTACCTAATTTAGATAATGTTTTCATGTGACCCATGTACACCAAGATACAGTAAAATTATTGATATTGGTTTGGGGATTTTTTTTTTTCTAATCGAACAGGAAGATAACGATTTTGTTTTATTTTTATTTTTTTTTTTTGGTTGACGATTGGGGGCGGGGGTACGACGAGGGATTGGCAATTTCAGGGTGAAAGTATGTTTTCTATGGGATTTATAAAATAGTGGAGAAGGGGAGTTTTCACTGTTCGGATTTTAAAAATCAGCTTTGGTCTCTCTATTTACGAAAAAAAAAAATTATTTCTACGAGGCGAATTGGGATTTCATGCAAAGTGTGACATTATTGCTATTGTTTTTCAGAGTTTTGGGTTTAACTGTCGACTGAAATGGGATGATAACGATTTTTTTTCATTTTTTTGTCGCTTTCTAGTGCTGGAAACTGGGGGATATATCGGGGAACTGAATTTTTTCGTGTGAAAAAAAAAAAGTTTTCAGTGAATGTTTTTTTTTATGGTGAGGTGGAGTGTTTCCACCATTGTATGAAAAAAATTTTGAGCTCCGTAGATCGTGCCATTCGCGAATAAAAAAATCACTGGAGAGTGTTGAATTGGAATTTTATCCTAATTATTGATTGAACCAGAAAATATTGGATTTGAGTTTAAAATGAGACGAGAAGATAATGATTTGTCGTTTATTCGACTGTGGAGAACTGGGGGATATATTGAGAAACTGAAATTTTTCACGTGAAAAAACAATTTTCAGTGAATTAATGAGAGAAACAGTGGCGGAGGGTTTTCAACATTTGTATTAGAGAATTTACTTCATTCATGAAAACAATCATTTTACAGTGTTGAATCGGAATTTTATTCTAAATGCTAGTCAAACCAGAGAGTATTGGATTTAATTTCCAAATGGAACGAGATTTTCACTCCATGTTTCCGGGTTGAGCCATTGAAAACTGGATAAATGCAAAATATGTCAATGTGAAAATACTTTTTTCAATGAATTCATAAAATCACGGAGAGAGGTAGAAACTTTTCACCATTACCATTCACAAAAAATAAGCTTTGTTCCAGAATGTTAAATTCAACTTCAATATTTGAAAATTCAAACCAGAATTTCCTAAAAAATCTTTACTCTGAAAAATTCACTTCATCCATTTCGTTAAATACATCTCTGTAAATAACCAAAACCTATTGGAAAAACTATTATTACTGCATATTGAATTCTACATTTTTTAGATTATAAACCCCACATTCAAATTATTTATAATGCAAAACAATTCTCGATAATTCACGTTCAACTTTAAAAAATCAGCTCATCTCACTCACTAACCAGCGAATTTAGATGCATTTCTAGCCAGTTATTTGTTACTTCTTCCCACAAATGCAACACCTCACTATTACCCATTTCAATCCAAAACAGCGAATCCTCTCGAGCAAATAATATTGCGTATAATTCGCAAATGTAACGAGAAGATAACGATTCTTTTCATCTATATTTTTACGTTGAGCCTTTAAAAACTGGGAAAATGCAAAATATTCCAGACTAAAAATACGTTTTCCAATTAATTCATAAAACAACGGAGGGAAACAGAAACTTTTTACCATTTCCACTCAGTTTTCAGTTCCATAAATCCCTCCATTAACAAAAAAGAGCCTCTATTCCATGATATTTGGTTAATATAAGTTTCACTCTATCCATATCGTTATTTACACCATAAATTATTATTCAAACCATAAAACAATTCCCAGTAATAAACGTTCAACTAAAAAAAATCAGCTTATCTTCTTGCCCATTAACCGTCAAATTTAAATGCATCCAATTCATTTATTTTTTCCATAAATACCGACGAGGGGGAGGTACAGCATATGGAATGAGACGTAAACGTTTATTACGTTATCATCATTTCCCACGTTTAACAGTAATTCAATTTTAAAATTTTCGTCGAACATTTCATCACGAGTCGGGGCTAAATCCGATTGAAAACTTTTTGGCACAGCTCCCCCTCCCCTCTCCCCACCCCCTCTCCGTCATCACTATACTCTAATTAATGAAATAATCCCCCTATTCTCCAGCCCCACCCCCTGAACCCTCACACTTTCCTTAACTATCGCTAATTTACTACTGCTAGTGCTGAATTATTCCAAACAAAAAAATGTGAGAAATGAAATTACGAGAGAATGATAATTGTAGTTGAATCAGTGGTGGAAGTAAAAGACACGAGATAACAAAATACTGGAGCAGTTATAACAGCCACAAACCACGACGAAAGAAAAAAAGTGTCCCATTGATAATGAGACTAAATAAACTCCCCAGGACCTACATTAAGTGAAACAATAATGATATATCTTGTTACCTAGATCAATTATGTAACGACGTCAACCATGTAACCGTAGAGAAGCCAAAATTAGTTGAAAAAAAAAAAAGAAAATAATTATCTGTAATTGACACAGCATTATAATAACGACGAGAGAATTCATCGACAGTGAAGAGCCACGAAAATACGAGAGAATTAAAAAACTTGAAATTGTATCTATATCGATTGTAAAGAGTTTACGAAGTTTTTCGCAATGAGAGAAGAAGATAAAGTGATGAAGAGTATAAAAAGAATATAATGAAAAAGAGAAGAAAAAAATACACGTTTTCCTTGTTTAAGAAAATAGTCCAGTGATTTATCTGGAGTCGACAAGTTTTTTCTTGTGATTTATTTCATTCCATCAGGTTCTCGTATCTCCTCGCTTCACATTACTTTTACGCCCGCTTGGAAGTGGAGAAGACAGTACTGTTGATGTCTGTGCATTCACTGATTCACCGGGTATCATAGTACACGCTGCATTGTAGAACATTCCTGGTGTGGTTGAAATTGTACAAATAAAAGGGCTTAATTAACGTGGGGAGGAAAGAGGAGGATTGAAGAGTAATGCGAGAATTTCATGGATTAATTCATTGGATCAAATTCACCTTTAATTTTAGTTGTGAATGGCTGGCTTGGACCCTCATCCAGATCCGAGTCAATTTCAACTCTACCCTCCATTGCTGATGCTATTGAGCATCCGATGTCGAGTACGTGATTGATGATAAACTGAATTGTACAAAGGACGAGGATAATGAGAATTGGTAGGCAAAGGCTTGACTCGAAATTATCGAGAAACTCGTGGACACTCGGTGGTAATAAATCGTTGCACATTTTTGGGGATTTAATGGGACAACATTTGATCGATGTTATCAGCTTTTTTTTTTGGATGATTAGGGAGGCTTTTGGCGTTCGTAGGGGCTTTATTTACCCTCCATTTGGACGATGGGATGGCTCAAGTTCGGGGGAAATGTCAGGACAAACAAATGACGGGAATTTCGAGGAATGTCAGACTGTTGATTCCATTTCCCGGGGGTTTCAACAGTTGGAGGCGGAAACGACTGAGAATTCGCGTTTGTTTTAATTTGGAATTATCCCGGTAATGAGATAATTTTTCTTTGATATTTTCTTCTGAAATCAGTGGCTATTCAATTGCATGGTTAATTAGAAGTGGAAATTCTACGCATTCTGTTACGTTTTGCTGATTCAATTATCAAACACTGCATTCAGAACTTTCGCCACAATTATATAACATTCTCGAGAATCCGTAGAATTTCGTATGACCCGTCGTTTCAAACCGAAAACAACGCGAATTGATATTAATTGCGGACAAAATTACGACTGAGGTTTCCCTTTTTCAATCAAATTATCGGAGTAATTAATAAAATTGTACGCGCGAGAAACTCCACCAGTATTTTGAATGCTTGAACTCGATTATGGAATATTTTGATGAATTGCGGCAATTTCCGAATGCCAAATTATCAATGAATACACGATTAATTAAAAATAAAGCAGAATGTATTGAATGAGTGAAAAGCAAACGATCTATACACATTACAAAAATTTCAGGTGTTTATTCCATTCATTCATCTTAAATACTAGTTCTCAATTAGCAGTCTCCTTAAATACAATTATTATTTCTTAATCTGGCTCCACCTCCGTGTGAACCTAAAAATGGGGGTAACTGTACTCATGTTCATGGTTTCATCAATTGATCGGCTGACGTGGGGGAGAATGTCAACACATTTTCCCTGAAATTCGTCATTAACGGGATTATTCAATAATTTAAAGAGTCTGATGAATCGAGTCCATCGCTGATATGATAATTAGTTGCAAATAATAATGTAAATATGATGGAAATGAATGAAATATTGACCGAGCACTTTGATGTCGTTCCCAAATAATAACACAGCATCGATCAATTGCTCCAAACCAGGGAGTATTGGGCTGAATTTCCAAATGTGAAGGGAAGATATACGATTTTTCCATTTTTTTAGGCTGCGCCGTAGAAAACTGGGTAAATGCAAAATTTTTCAGCAAGAAAATACGTTTTTCCATTCGAAAATTGCAGCGCCATCGATCCCTTCGTCTACAAAAAGGACTTTTACTCCATAATGTTGAATTCAACTCCAATTTTTGAAAATTCAAATCAGAATTTTCTCAAAATTTTCTCGGAAAAATTCATTTCATCCATATCGTTGAATACATCTCTGCAAACAACCGAAACCTCATGGGGAAGCTCCACATCCGAATGATTTAGAACATAAACCAATTTCCAGTAATTCAGGTACAACTAAAAAAAATCAGCTCATCTTCTCATTCATTAACCAGTGAATTTAACTGCATTTAAATTCCCACCAAATTATTCGTTCCTTTCGTTCACAAATAAATCACCTCCCCATGCCCCACCTCAATCCAAAAAAATATCCCTTCAAAAATTCCCCAAAAAAACCTCCACTCCAACTTGCACTTCCACAATGGCCCCATTAAAAATTCAACCCAACTTATGGTTTCCACAGTTTAACGAGGCCATCCTCACTGTACGAACACAGTAAATTCTGATGTGGATGATGAGCAAGGCCAATGACATCCTTCTCATGAATCTAAAACACGAAAAACCAGTCGAGTTAACCCATCAATAATTCATCGACAATCACAAAATCAAAAGCCAAAAGAAATTCAATTTACGTTTAACGTTCTCTCGAGTTTTCCGGATGACGTTGAAAAGCAATACAACACAAGATCCTCACCGACGCAGTAAATAAATTCACCCCTCGGTGACACAACAGCACTAACAAAATCACCGCCCTCTCTCTTACCACTCGAGAATGACCTGACAATCTGGCCTTGCATATTCATGATGACAACGGTATTGGAACGATTGCATACGACAAAATGCTCTGGATTTCTCGGTAATAGGTGAATACTGTTGACAGTCAGATCTGACGCCCCCAAAGATTTATAAGTTCCAATGCATTCGGTGGTTTTTAAACTCCAGAGTTTCACTGTACCGTCCGAAGAGGCTGAAATAACGTGATGACCATCAGGTGCAAAGACAGCCTCATTGACGAATGACGAATGGCCCCGAAATTCCTTGAGCGTTTTTCCCGACTTTAACCCGTGAATTCTTATTGTCGCGTCGAAGGAAGCCGTGAGAACTTGGCCATTATCTCTGCTGAATTGAATGCAGGTGACACCTTTTGCATGAGCTTTCTCGAATCTCCTGAGGCACTGGCCACTCTGAACCCTCCAGACCTTGATCTTGCCGTCCTGCGAGCCAGACGCCAACATCTCGCTGTCTCTGCTGAAGGACATGGACAATACCGCTTGCTCCATCATCATAAAGTTGTCCTGTGCCTGGTACTTCAAGTCCTTACGTATTTTTCCTGTTGTGAAATTCCAAACCTCGATGAAACCGTCTACAGAGCCAGTCACAAGGTATTGACCGTCGGGGGAGAATCTGGCGCACTCGACGTGCGATTTCTGACCGAATTTTATTTGCTTTGACAGCTGAGTTGGGTATTTCTCGTCCTCTTGGTCTCGCACAGCGGCTTTACCACGGAACAGATCGATTGTGGTGCCCGGAGGGAGGAGACCCTGGTGCTGCTGCCACTTGAGGGCTTGCCCGAGGAGGGCTAGCAGTCTGCTTGAGGGGACAACTGATACTTCACCGGACAGGGCGCTTGCTATGTATGCACGACGTTTTTCTTTTGTACTGCCGTCAGGGTATGCCTCTCGAGGGTCGAAATACGATCGTGCGAGGAGATTTTCTGGGGGAGAATGGAAATTGACGTTTATTTTGGGGTGATGATTTGGGGAATAATTTGTTGGGGTGAAAATTGACGTGATTGGGGAGTCATCGCGGGGGCTAGTCGATTTAGGGGAATAATGAGGAAGATTGTGGGTTTGATGACACTAATTGGGATGAAAAATGTTTCTTGACATTGTTTTTTCGGAACTGGCAGGATCAAGGTCGTTGGTGATGAATTAATGAGGAGTTTTAAAATAATAGGGTTTTCTGTTTCTATTTCGATGCCATTGTTCAGTTATCTAGAAAAACTAATGGTTTTGAATGGCAAAAGACTTTGAGGAAGAGCTCAAGAGCAAGAGCTTTTATTTGAGCCCCATTTGACCCTGTTTCCGGACATTTTAGAATGATTTTATTATTTAAATTCCGCAAGTGGGAATTTGAATCTCGACATTGAACCGTTAGAAAACATTTTAAAAATCTGAAAAAAATTAGAAAGTTGAGGAGGAAGATTGATGGAATAATTGAAAAATTGCAATTTTTGAAAATTACGAGCATTTTCTGTAAATAATTTATTCGTCATTGTAACGAATTTATTCGAATTCAGAATAAAAATGAGGTTTCTGAAAGTTTAAACAATTTTGATGATTTATTTATAAACAACGAACATTTAAAAAAATTTAATTGATAAACTTGATGATTGAAAATGGTCGCATTACAGTTGAAAAAATTCCTAATAAAATATATCTCTCGACATTTCCTCCAAAAATCCCTTAATATTAATGTAATTGAGGATAAATACAAAAAATATCTTTCGCAATTTTCCCCTAAAACGACTCATTATGTAAATGCCCCAGAATCTGAGCTGAGCCCCACTCAGCAAATGCCCAGAATCAATTTGTTATAAATTTCAAACCCATTATCCATTTCTCATTATTCCTATTCCTCCACTTTTCATTCGTGAAATAAAAAAAAAATGTAAATCCAGTTATTCAGAAATTCGATTACTCCCCCAAATATCCCTGAAAAGAGAATCCTCCAGTTCTCCCAACTTCCCCTCAATTATTGGAATCAATATTTCATAGCATCCCCCGAATAAAAAGATGTGGATAAAAATTTCGATATTCATATTTCACCACCATCCCCCATTCAAACACTCGTAAACAACTCTGTCCTGTCTGCGTGCTATTTCACAGCGCAGAATCCGATTTTCCATCTAAACTGGGGGTAAACAAATGTGTTCAATGGATACCGACCGATGAATAATAAACGAGTTACAATTGTTCTCATCTTCATCGAACACATGACATTACGTGTATGTGGATCGAATTGCTGAATTACAACCAGTCACCATGCAATATTCATTCCCTGTACACTACTCTCCATTTGAATTAATTAATTAATGAATTATCTTTTTCAATCAACGATCGAGATGAATTAATGAATCATCAGTGGAACACCTGTCCCAGTAGATTTTCATCAAGTTAAGAATATCCAAGTAATGTTTTAGTTTCGTACAGATTCAACTATTTTCAATCATCAAATTTGTCAATTAAATTGCGCGAGAAAATTTAAAAAAAATCACTCGTTTATAAATAAATAATTAAAATTTTTTCAACTTTCGGAAACCTTTCGGAATAAATTTGTTGCGATTCCGAACAAATGATTTTTATGGTAGACAATTGATTGTTTATAAATTATTTATGAAATATGTTCGTAATTTTCAAAAATTGCAATTTTTTAATTATTTCATCAATTTTTTTCCAAAAGTAAACTTTCTCATTTTTTGGAAGATTTTTAAAATGTTTTCCAACAGTTCAATATCGAGATTCAAATTCAGACCTGCAAAGTTTAAATAATTAAATAACAAAATCATTGTAAAATATCTGGAATCTTGGGGTTAAATGGGGCTCGAGTGAAAGCTCTGATTCTCTACTACAAAAATAGATAAGCATTTCACTGGAGAAAAAATAGCCAAAGTACTGGGATATCCTCAACTTTAATAAACACTCAAATTATTTCGCAGGAAGGTAGTTAACCATTCAACACTGAACTTCATCTCTTCCAATGACAAAAAATAAATAACTAAAAAATAGAATATAATCTGAATCTCCCCCATAAAAACTTGATGTAATAATAATTATCCGAGATGCAGTTCTGCGCATCCCTTTTATAACTCCAGGTAAATCCATTTACAATCTAGAAGGACTCAAAGACTCCAGAAACCCAATTACCCTCTTACCTAGATGTATATAACGTTCGGGCTCCTGTTGCTTCATCATAATCATCGGGTCCGTTTGTCTGAGTAACGAGCGTGCAGCTCCCAACTCCCTCAGTTCAATTAACTCTAAAACAACCTGCTCATATAGATCTATGAGCTTTTTGTCTGGTAACTTGAGTGATTGAATGGCTTTTAGGACAGTATCCCAGTGTCCATTGTTTATATCCGCTACAAAACCATCTACACTGTCCACTGTATTCAGGGATACACCTGTTTCTTCCTGGATTGTAAGGATTCGTCTTTATAACGCATGTTTTGAAAATTATAAGCACGATAACGATGAATTCAAAATGATAATTCTGATTTTCGTGGAAAATAAATCAGCTAATGAACAGAATATTCATTTATTTCAGACAGAATTGATTTGAAAAATCATGTTCACTTGGAAATTAAAAGTCAAATAACAATTAAAAAAATTGAAGTGAAAATTAAGGTGATTGTTATGCTCTTAATGAACAGAATATTTAATTATTTTAGGCAGAATTGATTTGAAAAATTACGTTCACTTGAAAGTTAAAATTAGAATGAAAATTAAAATGATAATTATGATTTTCTTGGTAAATAAAATAATTAATAATGAGAATATTCATTTTTTATGTGAAAATGATTAAAAAAATCAAGTTCACTTGAATTGACTGTAACCATTAGATAATCACTGAGATTTTTGATTATCTAGTGCTTGAATTAATGAATCGGATGATTAATTATTAAACGAGTTGAAGAAACTAATTACCTGGAGTGTTTGTAATGTTTTAACAAGATTCGACTCCTTCAAATATTGTTGAATCAGTCGAATCACACTGAAATAGAATAAACCATACACAGCCCATTTTCAATATTTCCAGTATATGAATGATTCATTCGGTACTTACTCTGCGGATTCAATCTCGATGGACATTGTTGGTCAATTATTCAAACAATCACAGCACACAAATCGAATATTAACTATCAAAACAATATATTATTCAACACTATTTACTAATCTGGCGTCGAGCGGATTGAGGTTACGTTCGATCAGATGCGCCATGAAGAGGCATTTCCAAGGCTGCGATCTGTATCTGAATTATCTAGATAACGGCAGCCAGATAATTGCGCGAAACGCACGATTCAAAGTACGAGTTGAAGTAGGATTGATAAACATAACGTAAATTATGAATAATCTTAAAACAATGTAAAACTCAACGCCCATATGGCATGCTATTGATATTTCTAGCTATCAGGGGTTTGGGGAACAAAAAATGTAAAAACCCGAAAGGGTATAGGGGAGGGTGCGGTAAAATGGTCCCTTTAGACTTTTTTTAATTGTTCACAACTCAGAAACAAATTCATCAATTGAGTTCACCTTAGGCTTGTCACAAAGAGAAAGAACTGTTCTTCGCTTCAGAAAATCATGAAAGATTCTAGAATAGTACATTTCGATAAGTGTGTAGCAGTGCACTGAGAAAAAAAAATGTTTTTCCCAAATATTTATTTACTTGAGAGAACCATTTACTTTTTCAAAATCGTATTTCTCCAATTGAGTCATTCCCAGACGAGCCTGATTAGGTTTCAATTATGATAATCATGCTGCTCTAGAGGATGATTTTGTTGCATATGATCTTGGATGAACTCCTCCAATGATTATTCATTTTTCCTAAATTTCTCATTTTCTACAGGGAAGAATTTCGATTAATTTTTCAATGTTTATAATTATTGAGGGAGTTCACTCAAGTTCATAACTAACATGATCATTTTCTAGAGCAATATAATTGTCATAATTGAAACCCAATGAAAATTGCCTAGAAATGATTCGGCTTGAGAAATACGGTATTGAAAAAATAAATTCTTCTCTCAAGTGAATGGATATTTGGCAAAAATATTTTTTTTTCTCAGTCTATAATGAAATTCGTCTTCTAGATGTCATAGTGGAGACTAACTCCTTCGCCTCTCGGCTGAAATTTATTGGAAAAATGAAGGAATCGACTCCTCGCTCGCTTTTTAGTATTGAAAAATCCCCAGAAATAATCCCTGAAATATATTAAAGGAGTTTGGATCACTCACCGGCGTTGGATGAAAACAACAGCTCCGTTTTCACCTCTCGTACACCCTACCTTGACTGCAATCCTTGGGATCCAACCGTCTCAGCTGCATTGACTCCACCTGCTCCCACAGTAATCCTTGGGGTTCAACCTTCTCAACTGCAGTGACTCCAACTGCTCCCACGCAATTGATTCCTCTCCAATTCACAAAAAATAGGCACACACCCACATGTAACAGCACTGAACACTTCAAAGACCCCCACAATAAACAAATAATGATATTTCCCCCTACAAATATTCCAAATTACCCAAATAGAAACACTCAACACTTCACAAACACAATAAAATCACTTTTAGAGTCAAAAAATCCTTCTCATTCCATTATTGTCACGGCAAAAAAATCGACATTCACTTATTGTAATGCATTAATACGATAAAAGTCCAAAAGAGTCTATTATTTTCGTTTTTCTCGCCATTTCAGCCTTATTACTGATAATATGGAAGCTCTGAACCTTTGAAGACCCCAAGCAATGACCAAATGATATTTCAGTCTACAAATATAAAAAAATCCCTTAATTGGAACTCTAGACACTTCAAAAGCACAATAATCTACCCTTTGGACCCAAAAAAATTCATCTCGTCCGTAATTGTTCGATTTTATACCTCATAAATTCTTTATTTTCATTTTCTATCACCTTCGAATCCTCCTCGCTTCTAATACCGGTCCCACTGAAAAAAAGTGAACGAACAGAGGCACTGGATGGCGAGAAAATCCTGAGAAAATGGCATGAGGTCACCTCGACCCCGTAAGTATCTGAAATTCCGCGAATCGAAGCACTCAACGCCTCGACGACCCAACAAATCACTTCTCACAGCCAAAAAAACAGTTCTCATTCCATTGTCACACCGAAATTGAATAAAATTCTCGTCTTTCGTGAGTTATTAACACGAGGAAAGTCTTCGTGCCGATGTAAAAACACTCCACGGTGCTCTCACTGAGTCTTTTGTTATTGTTTTCGCCGATGTTTGAACCCAGCACCGGCTTCCCCTTCTCACTGCAGCCGAGCGATGGCTTGAATCCCCACCTGAGCCCCGAAAATACTTCTCCACCAAAATTATTCGATTTTGTCTCTCATAAATCCTTTATTTTCACTTCCCGTCGACCTTCGACTGTTCCTCACTTCTAATACCGGCCCCACTGACCCGCCGAAGACCACAAGTATTTTTCCCGAATGCACTGACCCCTCACCAACAATTAATTTCACTCCCTCCGCCAAAAAGTGAACGAACAAAGGCACTGGATCGCGAGAAAATCCTGAGAAAATGGCGTGAGGTCACCTCGACCCCGTAAGTATCTGAAATTCCGCGAATCGAAGCACTCAACGCCTCGACGACCCAACAAATCACTTCTCACAGCCAAAAAAACAGTTCTCATTCCATTGTCACACCGAAATTGAATAAAATTCTCGTCTTTCGTGAGTTATTAACACGAGGAAAGTCTTCGTGCCGATGTAAAAACACTCCACGGTGCTCTCACTGAGTCTTTTGTTATTGTTTTCGCCGATGTTTGAACCCAGCACCGGCTTCCCCTTCTCACTGCAGCCGAACAATGGCTCGACTACAAGATGGCGTCGCGTCCCCCACGGGAAGGGGGCGCGCATGCGCGGCGGAGGGATACAGCGGCGCACGAGTCGAGCGCGCAGGAGAGTTTCCCTCCAAAAGTAGGCGCCATGTTGGACTGAATGCTTTGTCTTGAGAGTCGACACACGGGAGCCCGGCAGCCCCGGCACTCGGCTTAAAGGACGCGTAGAGGAAAACAAAACAAACACTCGGGGACATCGCGACGTGTTTATCGTGGAGCAAGCATTCCAACGTGTTTTAATCGATAAAATCGAGTGAGTTGGGGTTTTTACAGTGTCTCAGTGCAGAATTTGTTTGGGTAATAAGTTTTATTTGGTGTCTAAGGTGGGTGGGAGGGAATGAAGTGATCCAGTGGGAATTTTCGTGGAAAAAGAACAATGAAATTGAGGACACTTGCTGTTGCTGAGCATTGAGAGGTGATTTTACTGTACAAAAAGGGATCTTTCGGGATTTAATGGATTTAATCGAGTGAGTTGGGGGTTTTATATTGTCTCAATGCACAATTTGATTGGGTAATCATTTTTATTTGGTGTCTACGACGGGCGGGGGG